TCAATACTTTTTTAGGGATTCTGTGTGTAGCTCCTCAATCATCGTATTCAGTGCATTCCACGTGTCGGCTGTTAGTACTACATCATCTGCGTATCTAAGATGGTTCAAGTATTTTCTGTTAATAGGGATTCCCTTATTTTCCCAGTCTAATGACTTAAAGATATCTTCTAGGGCAGCTGTAAATAATTTTGGAGATATTGTGTCTCCTTGTCTTACGTCTCGATTGATTTTTACTGGCCTTGTTTCGATTCCATTACCCAACGTCACTATCATTTCAGTTTGTTCGTAAATATTATGAATTAATATTCTGTACCTGAAGCCGATCCGGTTGTTGACTAATGCTTCTTCTATTGCCCACAGTTCTACGCTATGAAAAGCTTTTTCATAATCTATAAAAGCCACACATAATGGGAGATTGTATTTGTTAGGCTTTTCTATTAGGATTTTCAAAGTATATAGATGGTCACAGGTGCAGTACCCTTTTCTAAATTCGGCTTATTCTACTGGTTGATATCTGTCAAATTTAATTGTTAACCTGTTTGTAATAATCTTTGTAAATGTTTTGTAAAGTTGTGAAAGAAGTGAAATTGGTCGATAATATTTCAGGTCTGTGGTGTGTCTCTTTTTGTGTATTAGTATTGTTTTAGTAGCATTCCATTGTTCGGGTATGTTGCCTTCGAAAAAAAAATCATAGGGTACTATGGATAAAAATGGATTTACTATAAAACAAATTTTAATTTATTGACTTATGCAAACTCAAGAAATCCTCAGATAATACCACAGCACCGTTAAATAAATGCTTGGGAGCACTTGGCTCTTGAGATACTTGGAAGCCCTAATGAGTAGTAGTTTTGATTTTAGGAGGACGAATGTTACCTGCTATATGTTCCGAAACCTTTCCTACGGGTGTGAGTCCTTCTCTCGACATCTCGCTAAAAAAACGCATTAAAGTTTTCAAAAGGTATCTTTATAGGACAATACTACCCATTTTCGCCACCAAAAGAATAACAAAAACCGAAGTTTTTAATGGAATGTAGAAGAACTAATACCAAAGATTAAATAGCGTAAGCTAATGTACATTGGACGCTAAGGAAAGGGACAGATATCAGATACTTTGATTGATGATCTAAGGAAAAATTCAAGTAAAAAGGTAAATAAGAATTCCTGGCTCAAGGATCTACGTCAATAACTTGGCAAACTATCATCACATCTTCAGAGTTGCTATTTCTTGTGTAACTGTCAAGAATATGTTCACATGATAAATCGGTAATTGAAAGAATTTTTAACTATTCGACTGCGTATGCTAACTTATTTCTCTTGTTATCTGTGGTGATCAGTAAGACTTACGTGGATCATAATAATGCACAAGATTGTGTTAATAGACTTGTGTAACTTTTGCACTTCAATTTTGTGTGCATAAATCTAATCTAGGTAAACTGTAATCCACTGTGAATCAGCTTTCTACGATTCGTGTTGCTTTTCTTCGAGGGTCTAAGAGTAATCCCTTTTAGGAACATAAACCGTTTGCACGACAATGTTGTGCAGTCGGGTAGTATTTGAATTGTTCTTGCTTTTCCGTTTTCGCAAAAACTATAATTCTTAATATCTGATTAGACTATTAAGCTCATAAGTGAAGGCAGTGTCTGTTGGGCAGACTTTTTGCCAATTTAACTTATTTTTTCCTCATTTCCAGGAAGGTATTTTGAGTTGAAAGGCAATAATATCACAATGCTTTTTGTTTAATACGTTACGTTCTAGGCAGCATATCATATTAAGCCAGCGAGACTGACCAATATTTTTTTTTGGGTTCCCAAAGGCGGAATTCACTATTTACGTTAATTTTTGTTAATTCACAAAAGAGTTTAGAGCTTAGAAAGGTAAGTTTGCTTCTTGATCTCTTTATGACCTGATACGCACATCAAGATTACCATATTATTGGATGCCAGTGTCTTAAGAGATTATTTACAATCACAAAGCAGCTTTAACTCTTCAGTCACTGATTTCAGAGATTTTACGGCAAGTGTCTAAAAGAATCTATAGGCTTTCGTCCTACGAATTCATATATACTGGTTAGTGAAATCTATGGTGTGCATTTGAACCTGAAAAATATTTGGTGCGTTCAAACGAATTTAATAGCCTGAAATTCGGTGCCGTTACTGCTAATCTCATTCATATATTTTGATGAAGACTAGTTTGTGAGGTAGGTAAAAGAACTTCCAAGAAGCAAATAGATGGAAATTTCGGTAGTCATATGGGTGCATAATTATTAAGCTTAAAAGAAAGGAGACAATAGTGAGTTAGAATGATTGTTAATTCCCGAAAAATACGGTCAACTCCATAGAAACAAGAACAAACACGTTTACAAAGATTAGTTGAATCTGAACGAAGAAGTTTTATACTAGCTATAGTTGCCAGCACACAATTTTAAATTTTAAAAATCCATATTGTAAACTCCAAAACAAAAACTGAAAACATCATAAAAATCATCAAAATGGCATACGTATGTGTAGTATTTCCTTTTTAAAAAATTAGTGTACACGACTCGTTCGGATCACCAATCATAATTAAAATATAAACCGTCAACCACATAAAACCATACAAGAGATAAATGGATAGAGCTCCTCTTTAAATTGATAGCAATTTTGTGCTCGAGCCTAACAGTATTTTATTATTACAGTCAATTTACTTTTTACGGCGTAATAAAAATCGCATAAACGACATTATATTCCAAATTAAAACTTTTTTGAAAACTCGAGATGTTTACTACTTCGTATAAAAGCCATTTTCTTAAGTCATTTAGTTGCAATAGAGGACACAAAATAATACCGCTAAATAGAAAGATTTCTAGTATTTTTACATATCTTTGATTTTGTTTTTTGTGTGAATCGTCTTTAAATTTCATTTTTCTATCATTATAATAGTATTAGTATTATTTAATATTCGTATAATCTGTTTAATTTTATTCTGCACCAAGTGGCGTTAATGACTTACCTGTTTCTTTAGAAACTAAAACTTCGAAGTTGGCCAGTCCTATCTATTTCATGACACTATTTAGCGTCTCTAACTAATGGCAATTACATTAGCTTATACATAAGGGCGAGCGCCCACCAAAGTGGCGTGGCAGTGGCAAGTAGCAAGTAGCACGCGTCTAGCATAATGTAACCAATCCTAACGAATGATTAGAATGAATGACGTTACTGTCATTTTGGTGTAAACTGAATCATTCGTTTTCATTGGTTACATTATGCTAGACGCGTGCTACTTGCTACTTGCCACTGCCACGCCACTTTGGTGGGCGCCCGCCCTTATATTTACATTACTTTTATGTTACTTGAGGATGTTAGTAAACTAAAGAAAATACACAATGCGAAAGATTTTGAAGCCTATAGTCAACAGAACTACTATTCAGAACCAGAATCACGCCAACCGGAAGGTTGCAGCTTATCCAGGACCACATAATTAATTAATCGTTGTAATGTGGGTGTATTTTTTCGAAACGTAGAGGAAGTTTTGAAGTGTTTTGATGACTTTTTTTAAATTTAGATGTAACATCGACCACAACTGTAGAAGTCATCAAATATTCTTGTACCAAGGGGGAGTAAAACAAATCAATAAAATTACAAAGGGCAAACGAGGTATATTGGTTACAACGTGTTGCATTATAAGTTCACAAGTTTGTAAAGTTTACACAAGTATGACTTACTACAATACTTTAATGTTTCGCTAATGTTTCAAAAACTGCACTACCTCTGTCGCGATCTTTCCAAGACTTAAATTTAAGCATCACATTTTCGACGGAGCACCTGTTGCTACAATAGGACTTGCAAATCGTTGCTGATGACTAGCTTGTGGTAGCAGAGAATAAGTACTGAAGATATTACCTGGTTAGGAAACTACATACAAAGAACATATCAATAACGCGAAGGGAGAGACCTGATTCTGGAGAATACACGGATAAAAGGAATAGATCTGAAAGGCCAAGACAAAAAACTAGGAGCAGCAACAGAATAGAATATATAGGAGTTAACGTAACCGATAAGGAAGACCAGGTCCAAGAAATAAAGAGAAACATTTTCGACATACTTTTGAACTCCAATAATATTCAAAAGAGAGCAAAGTTAAGATTATATCGAAATGTCATCCAAACAACAGTGAATGTTGATTGGATTACACATAATAACTCTATGGCAGTGACTTTTGGACGATGAACAAAAAAGATGATGTAAACGTTTGGAAACGAAGAACTAAGAAAGATATTCGGATGAATTAAAGTGGTAGAATAGGAACGAAGAAAACGAAGGAAGGCTGAATTTAAGCAGTTGTATTAAAAGCCAGAAATAAGCAAGCTGGTCAAATAGAAACACTCCTGGTTGGTTGGAAGTCTTGACAAGAATGTAAAAGAGAAGATGTACAAAAAGTACTTCACTGAGAGAAGGAGTAAGAAGAAGAACATTGACACCACAACAAAAATGGTTAAAGGCATAAAAATATGATTTAAGGTACGAAATTGAGAGTGACAGGGAAGCATAGAACTTAAAAAAAAATAAAAAAAACTAAGATCAACTATTATCGAAAGGATAGCCAGTAGACGAGTACACGTAGCAAAAATGAAAGATGTTCTATGAATACAGGCTGCTGGAATGGAGACCACGTAAGAAAAACAAAATGTAGTACGACTACTTAAACGATCGAGAGACGACAGATTAAAAAGCTAAAAAAAAAGATGAGTGCAGTGATTGATAGACAGTGTTTAAATTTAAAACAAGAAGATGATGATTAAAATGGAATATCAAAAACTGTACATTTGTCATCATATGATTTTAATTGTAAAAGTTTGTATTGGATTCCGATAATTTTACAATTTTATGCTAATTTAATTTAACCCCCAATTATTAAACAATTTTGAATATTGTTTTTTATAAGAACAATACTATGTTATATTGTATAAGTATTCTTAAGTTATATTAAGCGTTAAGATTAACATTCAATGAAATACTCACCCTTTAGCTTGGCACGGACTTTATTGGCAGTTTTCTTGATATCGGCCATTAGGTCTTCCAATTCTTGTTTCGTTTCTGTAATAAAAAAATACACATTAGTTGTTTGAAATATGTTTTATATTAGTTTATTTTTCTATTTTTTTTTTAATTTGACATATTCACTTTTTACCATATTTAAATTGGTATTGCACGATCTACAGTGGCGTTTAAAGTCTCCCCAACTATTTTCTGAACCATAAATCTAAATTGATAAATTTTTGGGTGCGTTAACCACGGAACCTGTTCATAGCTTTTATATTTTAATAGCTTTTATGTCGCACCAAAGTCGAAAGAATTATAACTTAACTAAACATGTATTGGTTATAATTCTTTAACGTTTATACCATAGACATATACTACAAGTAGCATGAGCATGAGTGTTGCAATACAGCGTCGTTCCACCACTGCGACAGAGAAAACTAATGCTAAGTATGTCCTGTATCTCTTTCTAATGGGTCGGATTTTTTTTACCATGTGACCTAAATAACCAATGGGAAAGTCCATTCCTACCTCCTTTCTCTAAAATATTCGTTGAAATATATTTGATATCGAAACGAAATTAAAGCTAAAACGTTTATAGGCTCTAGGTCTAGGCTCATTGTTTTCCATGTATAAATGTTTTTTTTTTAATTGCCGTATTGCCAGATTGCAGTAAGAGCCTAAGAAGGTATCCACTGAATTCTGACAGTCGACGGTGGGGGAAATCTTTTTTGGACATCCACGTCACGGAACAAGACACCCTGGCATCTTTCAGCCAAGTAGGACACTAGGCCAAAAGACACCAGGGTAGTGCCGGATTAATCGTGTTCCGACTAAAACCTTAACCACCGTTCCAGAGAGGTGGTCTTGCCACTCAATAAACAACTAAAATAAAAAACTAAAAATTTATAAATAACCATACCGATTACCATGATACAAATATAAACAGATAAGATACCGCGCATGTAGGCGTGGCTTATGCATGACTTTTGTGACGTCAGCTTGTGCTAAATTTCGCCATATTGTGTTTTGACGTTTATGTACATTTACATAAGTGAGTCATAGTTTAGAACATAGAGTTTATGTTCATAGCCAATATTTAGTAAAATAATATTATAAAAGTGTTACAAGGCTTTAAATTTTTCCCGATATGAGGTGTGCAGTGTATGGTTGTGCCGTTGACAATATGTGCAAGAGTTTTGTACCCGGTACAGCATTTTATAGCTTTCCAAAAGACAAGGAAATGCAAGCTGTTTGGAAACATTTGTGTAAACGCCAGGATAATTTTAATATTAAATTTGCTCGTGTTTGTTCTAAGCACTTTGTTGAAAGTGATTATTAAAATTTAAAACATGAATTGCTAGGGTATATACCAGCAAAACATCGTTCTTTAAAAAAAGACGCTGTTCCGTCAATAAATTTATACAAAACAAATAAACAGAACGAGAAGGCGAATTTTGATAGAATGAACCGACAACATAAAAGACAACAAAAAAGACTTGTGGATGATTTATTAAATAGGTATGTGATATTTATTATAGTGAAGTGGTAAATAATCATGTCTAATGATTTCATTACTAATTATTTGTTTTTGTAGAGCGGAACTTTGTAACAATAGTGGAAATACTTTTGATGATGGTGCGGAGGCTGGTACTTCTTGTTTTATCCCCGAGAATGCTGTTTTGGAAGAATTACCTACTCATCGAAGTATTGGGTTAGTTTGTAGTTAAAAATACCTAACTAATAGCACAGATTATATACTATCTTAACTAGTCTATGATTTTTTATATCTAGAATATATGGTCCTGTAATCTTTAACTCTCACTTTTTTTAAGGGTTAATACTGAAGAAGATAATCGGGACAAAATAATACTTGGTCTTCAAGAAAAGATTGCAGTTTTGGAAAAGCGCCAAGAACTTATTGGAAACCTTTTTAGTGAGCAGCACCTAAAAAAATTAGAAAATTCAAAAACTCGCCTTAAATGGAAAGTTGAGGACATATCTAAAGCAATAGTTATCTATTCTGCTGGTCCAAGAGCATATAGGTTAGTTCATTATTGAAATGCAAACAAATGACACTCATATTTTTCTTAATCTTACAGATTGCTTTTAAAAAAAGGATACCCGTTTCCTGCAGTTTCTTCTCTTCGATCTTGGCTAAAAAAAGTACAAATTGCTCCTGGCATATTAAAAAATGTGTTCAGTTTAATGAAATTCTCTGACATGAGCTCATTAGATAAGGTCGGTAGATTAATTTACATTTTTTACAAAAATTTTTCATATTTTATGTTACTTATATTGTTTTGCTATTTATACATATGATTTTTTTGCAAATATTTAAAACATAATATTTTTAGGTGTGTTTGTTATCATTTGACGAGATGAAAATCAAAAAAGCCTACCTTTATGACAAAGCGAACGATGAAACCTTGAAGCCATATTCTTATGTACAAGTGGTAATGCTAAGAGGACTATTTAAAAGTTGGAAACAACCTGTTTTCTATTATTTCGACTTTCAGCTTTCGAAAGAAAAATTGTTTAAAATCATAGAGTTTGCTGAATCGTCAAGTAAATATTTTATGATAATTATTTTTATACCTTTTCTATGATTATTATCAGTTGAACTATTTAAAATGTAAGGCTATTTGTAATTATACATATTTTATTGTTACTGAATGTGATTATCTGTCAAAACTCTCAAAACACCTAATTTTTAGGTTTTTCAGTGGTAGCTATTGTAAGTGATTTAGGTGGTGGAAACAGAGCACTTTATAAAGAGTTAAATATTAATCATACGAACACCTTCTTTAAGAATCCTGCAAATAATCACAATATCTATGTGATGGCTGATGTACCCCACCTTGTAAAATTACTTCGAAATCACTTCGTAGATCAGGGATTTATTTTAAATGGCGATTCTGAGATAAATAAAACAATTATTGAAGAGGTTATTGATGTAACTGGTACTTCAGACCTAAAAATTACACATAAAATATCAAAGGAGTCTCTTAACATTCAAGGCACTGGAAGACAAAAAGTAAAATTAGCAACTAAGCTATTTTCCCACACCATTTCCAAGGTAATTTTAAGATGTGGAACAATGGGGTTATTGAAACAAGCAAACTGGCTTGAATGTGGAAAATTTTTTAAATTAGTACGTATATATATTTTTTTGTTATCTCTAAATTAAATACTTTTATGTAAATAAAACGATGGTATAAATAATAATTTTAGGTAAATGATTGGTTTGATGTTATGAATGTCAGAGAGTATTCGAGTGACTCCAGGGAGCGAACCAAAGCTTATAGATTAGCTTCAAATATCCAAGATTATATCATTACCAAAATGACAGACACAGTGGAAAATCTCCGGGTTAAAGGAAAGAAATGCTTGCTTCCATTCCAAAAAGTTGAAATAAAAATACATTAAGATTATTTATTAATTCACATGACACCTATGTTTATTTCAGGCATTATTATGACTAACCATTCATTAAAACTTCTATTTGAAGATATGAAAACTAGATTTTCCACCAAATATACATATATTGACATATAGGTTAAATCAAGATGTATTGGAAAACTTCTTTGGAGCTATAAGAGCCAAAGGAGGACTTCATGATCATCCAGATGCATTACAATTTAAATACCGTCTACGATCCTATATTCTTGGAAGAAATGAAGGTTCTCTTTCCAGCTTCGAAAATGTCGAAGAAGATGAAACTCCCAACATACCTGTGGATAGTGCAAATTTATATGGAAAATATTTTTCTTCAATTCAAAATAAGACTATTACCGATTCAGAGGCACCTACTAATATGTATGATAGTGAACTCAGTGATATCGAATATGACGGCTTAGAAAATTTGGCAGGTTATATATGTCACAAGCTGAAGGATATAGATTCATCTTTAACTTTATCCAGTTCAAATGAGTTCACCTGGATTTCTCACTTAAGTGAAGGTGGTCTTTCAAAACCTACTCCTCAAATGATGGAATATCTCGAAAAACTAGAGAAAATTTTTAATTCTGTGAATAAAGATAAATTATTTATTTCTAAACAATATTTAAAAAAAATATTAGATGAGAGTTCTTCAGTGTTGTGCTCTAATCAGACAAAAACCCTATTTTTTAGATCCATGATGTTTTTTCGTATTAGACAATTAAATAAAGATTTACATAATTTTACTTTGTCTAGAAAAAGAAAAATGGCAAAAATTGTACATTAAAGATGTTTAAGAATTAAATTCAGTCTTTCATTTTACCCAGAACCTACCGACCTATTGATCAATATATATATATATATATATATATATATATATATATATATATATTATATATATATATATATATATGTATATATAAGCTTAAATTCACGTAGTAAATAAAACATCTAGTAAATTATATTAGAATTTCAGCAGTTCGTTTCATCCGCAAGCATGAATAAATTTTGCAAATTTAGTACAAGGTGACGTCATGCGCGTAAGTGTACGAGTTTAGTGCGTGGACAATATCATATCTGGTATCCTTATATCATGACCGATTACCGTAAATCAGAAAATGTTTCAGACGTTAGGTCATAAACTAATAAATAATATTAACCATAAATTTCAGATCCCTGGCTCAATTTCCTCCTCTGTCCTCCTGCACCTTTTTCTTCATCACCCCAGAAATCAGATAGTGTACTTCTCTCCACTCTTTCCATTCTTTGAACATTATGTTTACAATGTTTATTTCATCCAGCCCTAGGAGCATTCGCCTTTGTGAAGTCTCCATCAGCTTAGCGTATTTAGCAGTGTTTAGTACACTACACCACACAGGAGCAGCGTAGGTTAGCACCGACTGGAAAACTCCATTTAGCACCTTTCTCGTGCTGCCTGGGCCTCCAATGTTTGGCATCAGCCGTATCAACGCCTCCATATTTCGATTCGCCTTCTTTACTGTCTTTTGGATGTGTACTCCTAACCTTAGACCTTCCGACAACCAGACTCCCAGATCCTTTATTGATTTAATTTAATGTATGAATGTTTTA